AATTTATAATCAGTCACAAGAACATCGAATCTGAATCACTTGAAAAAAACACGGGGGTGCTTAATTTTTTTCCAGGTGTATATATATATGGTACTGTGACAAGTATAACTCAGATTTTTTTAATAGACTGCTCCTCCTGCCTTGTTTTTTCAGATTACCAACTTCTTTTTATACTGTTCACTACATTATTAATTTTCTGTTCTTGCATGTTACAATACTGACATAATACGGTTTGAATCCTTCATTTTTTCTATAAAATACATAAGGGACCTCAGGTAAAATATAGCCATTATAAGGTCAAAACTATTTAAAAAATGATTGATCCAACATTGATTCTCTGAAGTGGAAAATATACTATATTCCACATTGAAACAAGTGAAGTAAGCCTCACGACAGACAAAAAACATCTACCTTAATCCGAGAATTTGAAATTGGATTCATGGATCAAACTAGCTTTTTAAACACATTTTTCTAAATATTTATCTACCAAACTGCTAACAGATCCAAGGTTACAGGTCCCTACTAACATACGAGATATAGAAAAAAATATATACAAAAAATACCATCAGTATTACAATTATACCTCTCTAATTACTGTAAAATTCCAATAAATCAGGATTTTGAAAAATAACTCTTGTTATCTAGATAACAGTTAAATTTGAAAACATTCATAATTTGCATTTAAAGTTATTATGGATTTGAACTTTGTTATATTTTGAATGTTTTTTTATTAATTCCCTTAACTCTCTCTGCCTGGGCATATTTTGTTGTACATGTCATGAAGTTTTAGTGAGTTACATCCAAAATTTAATTAAACTGTTCTTTGTTTATGTTATACCAATTAATACAGCATAAAATTGTAGCTACTAATCCCTGTTTTAATAGTATATAAGTTTTAAGTTCATAATTTTATAAGGCAATATTTAAAAAAATCGTGAATTTCCCCTAGTGTGACACATGTGACATATTTTCTCTAGGCATCCCTTCTTTTTCTATTTCATTTACCTCCCCTCCAATAAGTACAAAATTTAATGTAAATTACTCACTATAAAATCATCATTGCTCATTCAAACCATAATTTTTATAGCCTTCAATCTTGTTTGGTTACAGAGCCATCAAATAGATAATCAGACTCCTCTTGCCAAACACACCTGTCGCATCCTCTGTTTCAGGATTTGTTAATAGTTCTCTCTTACTGTTAATACTATATTATGTATAACCAATAGAAGGCCAAGGTTTTCATCTATTCAAATGATGTATTATATTACTTTGTTTTCTGAACAGAGAATTGTCATTTTCACTGTTAGTACAAGCTTTGTTCCCATGGCAAAGATAATGACTAACTTGAATGAATTTGTAATGGTTCTTGTCGCATAGTTAGAAAGCCAGAAAGATTTTTATAGTTGGGGAAATTGTCTGCTGTTCACATGTTATTATTCTATATTCTTAGGTGCATTATTTAATTTAAAAAAATTATTTAGTGCATCACTACCATTAGTATAAAAAAAGTAAGGTAAGCGTCATCAACAGTTGACAGCAAAAAAAAAATAAAAAAGAAGACCCAGGTTAATACTTTATTTCTTGTTTTTTATGTTTATTTTTATTTATTATTATAAAAGTAACTAAAATGTAAAAATAGGGGTATCTTTAGGTTAGTTAAGGTTAGATTTGGTAAAAAATAATAATAAAAATGTTTCATGAGGCACGTAATTCAATAGTATAACGTGAGCTCCTCATTCCCCAAATGATTTACAACTTATAATGGCATGAATAGTAGTAGTTAGACATGGTTGAAAAAGTAATAAAACAATAAAATTTAATTATAAATACATGTATAGTGTTACGAGCTTAAAGCTACTTAGGATAAACGAATGTAGTTTCATGTTACAATTTGAAGTCATTCTGGAAAGAAAAAAATGGTAATTTAGATTTATTTCAATTTTTTTTTCGTGGTTACGAGGTTGGTATAAAGTTAGGGTAGAGAAAATAACAGATAAAATATAAAGTTTTACTGAAAACAAACATTTGAAAGGTATTTAGGAGATTTTAGAGATTACGCAAATGAAATTTGAGATGAAGAAAGGTATTTTTAATCTTAACATGAAAATCACTTTGCACGAGGACTAGTAAAAAAATAATTGATATATATATATATATCAGTTTATTAAGAATACTTCACTAAAAAATAGGATTTTTTGCTATGTGAAAGACTTGTAATGTTTACTGAAACTCTGCCAAATTTTGTGATG